ATAAATGTCAACGAATATGCAGCAATTCTCTTTCCACCAGCGGTGGAAAATTCGACGGGAAAAATCACAAAAAATTATTATTAATTAATAAATATTTATACGAATTTTCTAGAAAAATTTAAGGTAAGAAAAATTACTCTCCGACTACTGTATTAATTATGGAAAAACAAAAAAATTTTCCGGAGAAAATTTCATAAGAACGACGAATTCTTATTTATTAAAGAAAATTTTTATATTTTTGATAATATTCGTCGATTTTTTTTTTTCTATATGTGAAGATTAATGAAAATTACGTCACGTGATTGACGTAATTTTCAAAGGAAATTTTATTTTTGAGTCAATGGAAATGACGAAAAAAAAATTCACGAATTTAATTACATTTTTTTTATATGTATCGTTTTTTTTTACAACGTTAATAATTTTTTTTTTCGTTTCGGTTAATTATTAAAACAGTAAAAAAAAAAAATTGTGTAATTATTACTGGTAATTTTTATTACTCTACGTCGTATTAAAATTTGTTAATATTTAAATAAAAAAATTAAGGTGTGAAAATATAATTAAATCGTTCAAATAATAATAATAATAAATTCATTTATTTATTTAATAATAATTTTATTTTTTTGACGTCGGTTATTATTTTTTTTTATAGACGAAATTTATTACTTTTTATTAATTAATTAATAAATGTTACAATCGGTAATTAAATGTTAAGTAATAATTTTTTTTTTTCGATTTTGGCGGTAATAAATGAAAAGTTTCAAATTCAAAACATAATTCATTCGATTTAATTTAAAAAAAAAAAAAAATTAAGAGCACGTAAAGGTTAAAAAAAAAATTACTTTCCGCGTCGTCGAAGGTAATTAAAACGTCAAATTTTCTTTAAAAAAATAAAAAAAAGTCGTCATCGCTTATTTACATATGAAAAAAAAAAAAAGAAATAAAAACAAACAACAACAACAACCGCAACAACAACTTCGCGCGGCGGCGGCGGCGACAAATAATATAATCCTTCTGTTAAAATTAATTATCAAACATCAATTATGTTTTTTACTAGAAATGGCACGTGGAAGGAGAATCAAACGGTTATAAATTAAAATAAAAAATATCTTTTTTTTATTTTTTATTACGCCCACGATTTTTTTTTATTTTTATGATAAATATTTAAATAAAATAACTTATTATTATTATTTGACTTTAATAATTTTTTTTATTATTTTTTTTTAACGTGGTAATTAAAAGTAATAAAAATAATTAACGAGTAGTGAATGGAGACGTTTAAAAAAACAAAAATATTAATTATTTATTCGGAATGACGTCATAGGTTTATTAATAATTTTATGCATTTAATAATCTGCCATCTTTTTATTTTTATTCAACAACCGTGTTCGCGTTTGTTGCGAACAACAATTAAAATTGTAACTGTAGTTTAAACAAACAAAACAATCTTATTATTATTTAATTCGGGGTCAAAATATTCTCACCTGATTATGTACGACCGGTCAACTTTCCATTTTTTAAACGTTTACGATTGTTACGTAATAAAAAAAACAAACAAACAAACAAAAACAGCAAAAAATAAACACACAAATTTTAATCCTATTTCGTAATTTTAATTAAATTTAATTAATTTTGCATTTTTTCTTCAATAAAATTTTTCCAGAAAATTTTATCAAAAATTTTAACACTTATTTTTAACGAATATTTAAAATTTTATATTTATTAAAATTTTTCTTCTGACACGATTTTTTCCGTAATTACTTTCATTAAACCTCAAAACAAACATAATTTTTTTTTTTTTGTGGTGACGTAACGATCGTAAATTTTTGTATTTTTTTTTTTTTTAGATACCACCACACGGACGTATCATCCTGTAAAAATATTTTTACTCATATAAGGTATGATATTATTTTATTTTTAAATATTAAAGGTAATATTACCGTAATAAGAAAAATTATTATTACTTAGGCAGACGTGTAAAAAAATTTTTTTTTTTAATAAACGAAATAATTATTTTCCGGCGTTTGTTGTTTTACCTTCGTTCGAAAGGGAAAAAAATTTATTTTTATTACTTTTTTTTTAATAAAAAAATAAATTTTTGAACGTTTGAATTATTTATTTATTTATTTATTTAATAATTAATTAATTCATCGTAATCAATTAAGGAGAAAAAATAAATAAATAAATAAATTATTTATTCGTGTCGCCATTTTATTATTATTAATAAAAAAAACGTTTTAATTAGCCTTATTTCAATCAAAATTTATTTAGCATTTTATTCAAACGTTTAATGATGTTATTATTATTATTATTATTATTATTATTATTATTATTGCTTAAATTTAATGAAGTTTATAATCATCCATAATGATAATTATACCGAGAGTAAGTCTTTCGTAATCATATTAATTGATAGAAATCAGTTCTAGAATAAATTGCGACCTTCTTTTTTTCCATCGTCCTTGCTTCGTTTAATATTATTATTATTACTACCCGACTTTTTCTTACTCGTCGCTTATCCGTGATAATAATTAGATTTCGTGTTATTATTTTTATTCATATAAAAATTTAAATAATTTTTCCCGCCATTTACATCGTTTTAAAAAGGAAATGACGAGGATGTGACGTCACACACGCGTTTGCAAAATTCAAAGTCGGTAATAAAAAAAGAAAAAAAAAGGAATGATTATCGTTATTGCTCCCTAATGTTATTATAAAAATTCCAGCATTATTATTATTATTTATTTTTTAATTTATTTATTATTATAAACAATTTAAAATGAAATAAAAAAATAAAATAAATTTATTATTATTATTATTATGTTGTATCAAACGCCCGCGAAAAGAAAAAGAAAAAAAAAAATTTTTTTTTTTTTTTACATTTAAATCCTTCGAATTATTATTATTATTATTTAAGGTGTACAATCGTTTGTGGGAGGTTTATAATTACGACCGTAGAAATATTTATAACGTTCACATTTATTAAAATAAAAAAGTCGTTATTGATAATAATAATAATAATAATATAAATAATATTTTACGATCGTTCGTGCATAATTTTTTATTTCAAACTTAATTTTTCACGATTACGTATGTATTTATTTATTTATTATTTATATATATATATATATATATATATATATATATATATATATATATATATATATATATATATATGTATTAAAATCGTATGAATAAAATAAAATGTATTAATGACTATACTATATATTTTTATTTATTTATAATATACTACAGAAGTATAAAATATAATAAATAATATTTATTACGACGACACGTATAATCCTCCGTATAAATGGAAAAATTTTCAATTAATTAATTTTCTTTATAATATTTTTATTATAAAAAGAATATGTATGTGTATAAGGTAAACATAAAAAACTAAGGTGTACTTATATTATAAATATCTAATAATTAAAAATGTTAAACGTGTCGTATAAAAAAAAAAAAAAAAATTACACGTAAATTCCATTTATTTTTATTTTATTTAAAATTATTATCATCTTGTCTGATAAGAGGATTTGATTCGGGAGGGAGGAGGGGGGAGGAAGGGGAAGAAAACGAAAAAAAAGGAAGGGGAAAAAAATAAATAAAAATTTTGTATGCAATCGTGTTCGTTGCATGTGATTATCAATCTAATTAATTTATTTATTATGTCGATAATTATTATTATTATATTTTTACAGTCAAGGTTTTGATTAAGAAAAAAAACGTTTAATTAATAATTATGTATCCGTCGAAAGCAAGTTTATAAAAATAAAAATAATAATAATAATAATAATTCAAAACGTAAAATTAATTACTCATTAAACAAGTTGAAAAAAAAAAAAATTTCTTGTCAGCTTTCTAATTAATTGGTACCATTTTAAAAATATTTAAATTTCTTTTAAAAAAAATACTCAAATAAATAAATAAATAAATAAAATTATCATCATCATCAATAATAACTTTACGAAAAAATAAATAAATAAATAAATTAGGAGCAGTCGATTTAATTTGAAAAAAAAAAAAATGAGAGATTGAAAAATAGGAAAAATTAAATTATTTATTTATTTATTAAATAAAACCTTTTTATTATTTTTATTACGAGTAATAAATTATTTTAAAAGAAAAATACTTTTTGTATAAAATTTTATTTTTTCATATTATTAATAATGAATAATAGTAATAATAATAATAACAATGATAATAAAAATCTGTCGGTAATGGTTTATGTTTTTTTATTTTATCATCATTATATAATAAATATTATTATCATTTTATAATCAATAATAAACAAAATATTTATTTATTTATTTATTTATATTTTCGTTCGAATTCATTCGTTTATCGATTCACATAATTAAAACGTGTCAAAAAATAATAATAATAATGCAATCGTATTTTTTTTTTATTTTGATTCGTGCATTCATAAATCTTAAAATAATTATTATCGATTACGATGAACGAAATTGATAATAATAATAATGATAATAATGATTTGCATTAAATCCTCTCTTATTTAATTCTTATGATAAAAATAATAATAATAATAATCATAATAATCGTTAACGGCAGTGTAAGAAGAGAGTGAGAGAGAGAGAAAAGAAATTTTGTAATCAAATATTGATTGGTTCATTTAAATTATTTCATAAATGCACACTGGTGTGAAATGTTATTATGAAAAATTTAACCATCCCTAAAGGAAGGTCAAGGTTTTTATGAAAAGGTCATATGGCCAGAAGGTAAACAAAAAAGACAGTTTCTCGAGGTACCTTGATTGTAAACGAATAATTAATATTCAGTGCATATTTATTATATGAATCCTTGAATAATTCGTATGAATATTTGTTACTAATTTTTTTTATTTTTTTATCTAATATCAAGCGCTCTGGGGATCATTTAAATTTAAAAAAATAAATATATACATATAAATATATATAAATTACCTTTTGGAATAATTTTCAAGGTGTTTTTATGTTTTTTTACCTTATTTATTTTGCCAAATGTATATTATAGGGTTATACTCAAGTAAAATCGTATATTTTTTTCTTCTCTCCGATAATTAGGATAGAAAATATTATTTTTTAAAAAAAACACACGATTAAAATAATTATATTAATTAAAAATAAATAAATAATTGGCTAAAAACTAATTATTATTTGACGTTTTTTAAATAAATTTTTTAAAAAAATTTTTAGCGCGCTTTACGCCTGCAATTGTTTAATTATGTTATTATTAATACATTAAAGACGAGAAATAGTAGTTTGAAATATTTAAATAAAATTTGATAAATTTATTTCCTACAGGTGATAAATAAAAGAAATTTTTTTTTTTTAAACATCTCGAATATTTTTTAAATTTACTTTATAAATTTTCTAAAAAAATAATAGAATATACGTTTAAAATAAAAATTTTTTCATCAATTATTAGATTCGGCTTTGTCGAGTATGAAAATTTGATCGTTTATAAAACAGTTTTGCCAACTTAAATATTTTAAACTGTCAGTTAATATTATGTACAAAAGGCTAGTGTAAACCATACGTGTTCGGTAAGGGTTATGTTTTAATATTTATATTTAAATTTTTTTATCTATTATTTTAATTTTATTACCTTTTCACTAAGTTTTAAATTTTGTTTCTCTCACATTAAACACCTAATCGTAATTATTAAATTTTTTTTACTAACACGTAGTGAAATTAAAAAATAATTTTAATTTCATCATGCCGGCCATATTTTCTAAAGTAACGCTGTGTAAATATTTAAAAATTTTTTTTTTAAATTTGTGTTTAGTGTTTATACATATATTAATTTAGTTCTTTATTAAATACTGTTTGTGAATATTGATTATTAGCTTGTAATCAAATCTTTATACAATCAAATATTTAAATTGTTTATTTTTATTTCTTTCAATTTTTTACTCCAGTTATTTTATTTAAAAAAAATTTAAAATAATTTACAAATCTTATTTGATTGCCTTTCAAAACTTAAGTAATATTTACTTAAATATAGTATTTTTCTTTAAAGTTACTTTAAAAACTTTTTGTTTTTGTTAAAACCGTTTTTATTATATGTGTTATGTACATGTGACTTAGAAATATTTTTTTTCAATTTATTATAAATGAAAAAATTTTTAAATTTATTTAATTATGTATCCATCAACTTCGAAAATTAAATTTAAAAAACCAGGTGAGGTGAAAATTCATTTAACAAGTTGAAAATAAAATTTTTAATAAATCTATGTAAATATGTAAATAAACAAAAAACTTATTGTTTTAATAACATAAATATATACATATATTTCAGCATAAAATAATAATAAATTTTTAACATGATTTATGTTTATTCGTTTTAGGAGATAGTTACAATAGCTTTCAAGAGGACACAATCGATTTAGATCCTAATTCTTCGACAACATTTGTTTACAATCCACATGTATTGTTACCTTATGAGGAGCAAAAACAAAGACTTCCAATATTTAATGTTAGAAATCATATATTATATTTATTAGAAAAATATCAAGTTTTAGTTTTAGTCGGAGAAACAGGGTGTGGAAAAAGTACTCAACTACCTCAGGTAGGTTTATAACAATTTTCTTTTTCAAACATGAAAAATCGTTTTACAACCATTTAAAATATTGCTTTTATTAAAATTATTATGAGTGCAATTGTTACAGATATAACAGGTCTATTTTATTAAGTTTTAATTTTTTTTTCGGATTTGAATTCGATTCAATTAATTTTTAATGTGACTCCTATCGTGAAATCTTTTTCACATGTAACTAAGCAGTGTTAATTATAAAAAAAAATTAGTGAATTATAATTCAAAGGAAAGCTTTAGAAAATTTATTAAATTTAATTAAAAATAAATGTTTTATAAATTTTGTGTGTCATTTTAAATGGAAGACGATAAAGAACCAATTTTATTTTAAACTTATGTACAAACCAATATTATTTGTATCATTTCCATGTTTTTTCAATTCAATTTTTTTACGCAGAGTTATTATATAATTGTATTTAAACTATATTAAAATAATCATTAAATATTATTAAACTGGTTTCAATTTAAAAACAAACGGTTTAAAATGAGGCAAAAGTAATATAATTATTATTATTTTACAAGTGCTCAAACATTTGGATAATTTTTTTTTTTTAATTACTTTTGTTTTCAGTTTTTCACCCCCGATATATATATACATATATATATACAGAAAGTAAAGAAAGAAAAATTGAAACTGGTTTTTTGGGATAGTTGGAATAATAAATACAAATACAAGCTCTCCAATGATATTTAAATATTTTACTTCCGAGCATTTTTTTTGTCTGCCACGTGTGCCAGTGTTATAGTTATCATTTATCTTATTAGATTTATTTGGTTACGTATAAGCAAAAGATAAAAATAACTAAAACATGGAAAATTCTAGTCATAATTTAAGAGGATTTTATTTTTTTAACATTGTATTTACGTGTGTCTTGACTTATTTGATTTTTATGGATGTGATTTTGTATTTTCGAATTCAAAATTATCCCTTTCGAATGGAAAACAACACGGAAATAATGGATTATTACAGTGAATATTCACCAATCAAATACGTAACGGTCAAGGGAGTTTTATTGGACCACGTGAATTTGTTTATAATCAGTCCGTTGGTTAAAATGTTCGATTCAATATTTAACGTGAGTTCCATGTCTTTCATAACGCCGAATATGATTAGCGCGAGCCATGTTTTCGTGGCTGCAATCGCCGGAAAATGCGTAGCGAGTCACTCTTTGAAAACGAGAAGAATCGGAGCCGTCATATTTGAAATTAGAACGTTTTTAGACGGTTTAGATGGACACGTGGCAAGAACACGTGAAAACTTACACGGAGAACGTTCCGTTGTCGGTTCGATGGGTTACATTGTGGATGGAATCTGCGATTTCTTAGGCATATTTTTTCTAACGATCGGATTGTTGACGTTTTTAAAGAAACATAAAAATGTTTCGAGATGGGAATATCTACCCTTGCAATCGAGTTCCGGAAGCAAGTTGGATTTTGCAGATTCGTATAAAGTAAAAATGTACAAGAAAAGATTATGGCTAACTTTGGGATGCATCGTCGGACAACTCGTACTCTCTTCGGCTGCTTGGAATCGTTACATAGCCGTGTATCAGAATTTGTTGGAAAAACGCGATGCTTCGCCTTTCGTTCAAGGGAAAGAAGTTGAAGTTTTCAGATCTAATTATTTTTTATTCATAGCTTTCCTTTGGAGATTATGCAACGTTCATTCGTACCTCCATTTGATACTCGTCGCGATTGTTTACAATAAAGTTTTGGAATTTTTCAAAATCATCAAACTCGTGGGTTTTGCTCTGTTACTGTCCCTTATTTGTTTCACGGAAATCCACATATTATTACTCAAGGAATTCATGTCGAGTTTTACGATTTTGTTCTATCAAAACAATACTTCCATTTAACGAAACGAAAACTTTTTAAATTTTTTTTTTTTTTTTGGAGAAAAGTTACGATTATCGATATCAATCCTCGATGGATTTCCGAGGATAAAATTTGTAAAACTTGATAAAATGGCAATAAAAACGATGTGCCTGCGAACCTTTTTAAAAAAAATTTAAATAAATCGAAATAGACTGCTTAGTTAGAAAATTATTTTTTCTACTTAGTCATTAACGTATACGAATATTACCCGAATACGCTTTTAATAAAACCAAATAAACAATTTATTAAAATATTTTTATTGTTCCTTTTTTGTTATTATTTTTATTATGTATTATTATATATTAATATTTTGTTATATTTAATTGTTATCATTCCTGTTTTTTTTTTTTTTTTTGAATTTAATTTATTGCGGTTTAATTTATGATATCAATAATAATTTTAATTGTTACTCATGTTATTTTTTTCTTTTTTTTTTTGATAATTATGTGATGTGTAAATGTGCGTGCGTGCGTGCGTTAATTATCGAATGAAAAAATAATAATAATAATGTAATTTCAACCGGATGTTTTGCGCGCTATTGATATTTTACATACATATTATCCATAATATTTAAATGGAATCTTTTATTTTTTTTATTTTTGAAATTTTAAATGTAACGTTTCTGGATATAATTAATTTATTGGTGATTTTTTTATTTTTTAATTTTGTGGTTTTGAAAAATTTTTGGTAAAATATATATACGTGATAATTTTCAATGTAGATTTTTATATTAAATTACGATATTTTATTGTTGATTCTGTTAAAATGTTGTTGGTTGTTTGTTGTTGGCTTTTGAAATTATTTTTTTAAAAAAAATATTTAATAATTTACACTTGTTTTGTTTTATAAAAAAAAAAAAATTATTGTCAAAAGTATTTTATGAATTTATTTAATAAAAAGTTATAAATTTTCCATTAAATAGACTGATTATTTTTTTGTTTAAAAAAAAAAATTATAAAGTATGTTAAATTTGATAATTTTTTATTATTTTATTGTTATAAATAAATCGATTGTATTATTTAAAAAAATTAATATTTTTAATTTTTTTTTTTAACCTTATTATAATTAATAAACAATTGAAAAAGGAAGCTTGCGATTTTTTTGTTACAAGTGAAAGATGATCGATTTGATACGTTTATTTATAGAGTTACCTTGGTTTAATATTATTCTGACGTTTTAAATTATTATGAATTAATTTTTTAAACACTTGTTTTACCTGTTTGAACAAAAAAAAAAGTGTAACAATTAGTATTTAAAAAAAAAAAAAATTAATATTAGCAATATTTAAAATTCAGGTTGCCAAGTTAATTTTTTTTTTTAATTCTTTAATACGCCATTTTTAAATTTGTACTTTTTTTATTTTTATTTAGTACCTGTACGAAGCAGGATGGACGGAAGAAGGGCAAATTATAGGAGTTACAGAACCAAGAAGAATAGCAGCAACTACTTTGGCCGCAAGGGTATCAGAAGAAAGAGGATGTCCTTTGGGTCAACTCGTTGGGTAATCGCACACAAAAAATTTGTGTGAATAAAGAATTTTAAAAAAAAATTATTCACGCTTGAAAATTTAATTTTTAAGGTACACGATAAGGTTCGACGACTGTAGTAAAGTCGGAGAAACAAAAATAAAATTTATGACGGAAGGAATATTAATCAGGGAAATAATGTCGGATCCTTTGTTGAAAAACTACAGCGTGATAATACTGGACGAAGTTCACGAAAGAACTTTATTCACCGATATTATAATGGGTTTGATGAAAAAAATTTTACGTAAAAATAAGTCGTTGAGATTGATCGTGTCTTCTGCCACGGTCGATGCGGATGAATTGCAATTTTTTTTTAATTTTAATAAAACGAAAAATAAAGAAAATGATACGTCGGTCATACTAAGCGTTCCCGGAAGCTCTTATTCCGTAGACATATTTTATTTAGAAGGTTAATATTTATTAATATTAGTATTCGAACATAAAGAAATTTTGTTTATTTATGTTTGGTTCGATTTACAGAACCGATTCCCGATTATGTTCAAGGCGTCGTCGACACCGTTCTTAAAATACACGATAGGGAATTTCGTGGAGACATTCTTGCCTTTTTGACAGGTCAAGAAGAAATCGAAAGAGCGAGTAATCTTCTCAGAGAACATGAAGGACAGCCGCGGAAAAGACGGATGTGAGTTGATCGTCGTTTAAAATTTGTTTTTTTTTCTTTTTTTGCGGCAATAAATAGTTTTGGTAGTGTGCTTACATGTTTTGCCGATGCACGGATCGTTGCCTTACGGTGATCAGTTGAAAGTCTTTCGTCCGGCCAAACAATACCAACGCAAAGTAATAATTTCAACAAATATTGCCGAAACTTCCGTAACAATTCCTGGAATTGTTTACGTCATCGACAGCGGTTTTGTTAAAATAAGATGGTTCAAACCGGAAACTGGTATCGATTCGTTATCCATTGTTCCCATTTCCCAAGCGTCGGCAAATCAAAGAGCTGGAAGAGCCGGTAGAAACTGCAGAGGAAAAGCTTACAGACTTTACAGGTTCTTTTTCTTTGATTAGTAGTGGTGGTGGTCCAGTACAGTACTTTTTACTTTTTTATTTTTTATTTACAGGGAAAGCGATTTTGAAAAACTTACCAAAGCGACACCGTGCGAAATGCAAAGAACTGATCTTTCGCAAGCCATTTTGCAATTAAAAGCACTTTACATACATAACGTTTTACGATTCGATTTTCCTTCCCCTCCTCCTGCTAAAAATCTCACGGTAGCCTTACAACTCCTTTTTGCACTTAACGCCATCGACGAAAACGGTGAACTTACCGATCCTTTAGGTGTTAAAATGGCTGAAATTCCGATACATCCTTTTTATTCGAAAATGCTTCTTGCTTCAGGTAAAATTATTGATGACACATTTGCAAAATATTTATTATCTTTCGATGAGAAATTTTCCCATCTTTGTAATTATTATTTTTCGAGAATTTAAAAGAAAAAAAAAAAAAACTCTTCATCCACTTCAGATCAATTTCACTGTTCAAAAGAAATATTAACAATATTATCGTGCATTCAAGTCGAAACAATATTTGTGAAACCGAATAGCGGATCGGCGTCCATTAGGGCGAGAATAGAACATAGAAAATTTCAAGCGACCGAAGGGGATTTGATAACATTGTTGAACGCATACGAAGCTTTCGAAGAAAATGGAAAAAGTAGAGATTGGTGCATGAAATATTTTTTAAATTACAAAGGTTTGCTTAGAGTCGCAGAAATACAAAATCAAGTGACGAAATTGTTGGGAAAAGATTTTAAATTCGAATCGGCTGCAGGTTAGTCGTTTGAAACAATATGAAACAAAAAAAAGAAAAATCATCGAAAAAAAATTTAAACCGGACGGTTTTTTTATTTGATTCCAGAGGATGACGTACTAGTACGAAAAGCAATTACTTCCGGTCTATTTCAAAACGCCGCTTATTTACATTATTCCGGAGTTTACAAATCGGTTAGAGGCGATCAAGAGCTCAGCATTCATCCGAGTTCCGTTTTATACACGCTGGAACAACCGTCTTGGTACGTGAGACGATATAAATAACTAAAAATTTCTTAAATCGATTCCGCGATGAATGAAATTAATTTTTTTTTTTTTTTTCCTCCCCCCCCTAAAAGGGTTTTGTACTGCGACGTTGTTCACACGAATAAAGCATACATGAAAAACATAACCGTCATCGAGCCCGAATGGTTGGAAGAATTGGCGCCACATTACTACGAGAAAAAAGTCGATCGCGACTATTAAATAAGAAGGTAAAAATCATCTTATTAAATTTTTTTTTTTATTATAAAAAAAATTATTATTATTATTATTATTATTACGTGAAAAAATTAATTAATTAGTTTTTAAATAGTTTGAATTAGTTTATATGAATTATTTTGTTTGTATTTTGGTTTTTCAGGTACGAATGAAGAGGAAGAATGATGGAAAATTTGATGACGTAAGTTGTTTTTCTTTTTTTTCTCTTCTTTTTTTCTTTTTGTTTTTTTTTTTTTTTGGTTTTATTGATGATCGTAACTTATGACCGCATTGTATCCGGATGGTCCCGCTCGATATTTAACGTTTTGAAGCCTCCCATCAGGTAGTAAAACGTGGTATTCCCCTTTGGCAAAGAGTCCGTCGTTAATTTCTGAATGTCCAAATTCTGCTCTCGTACGAGGGTCGCTAACTCTGTATCCGTATTTGTATTTTGTATTACTTTCTTCCTGTAAATATATTTCACCTTGAAAGTGATAATAAAAATTTTTTTTTTTATTTAATTCTATTTAAAAATTTTTCAAATTTCGAATCGTTTTTTCGTTATTGTTATTATCACTATTTATTATTATCTTATCCGGTAAAAAAAAAAAAAAAGTTTCATTCATTAATAAAATTAAGTCATCATCAATTAAAAAAAATAATTATTTTCTCCCCCTTTAAGAAAATAATAATAATCCCATTTTTCACGGTCTATCGGTTAAAAAATTATTATTATTATTTAAAAACAATAGGTAATTTATTATTATTATTATTATTCTTTAATTATTATCGGATATGAAGAAGAAGAAAAAGGAGAAGAAAAAAAGGGAAAATTTTCAGTTTCACTTTTGAAATTTCTTTCTTTTTTTTTTTTCTTTTTTGCAAAATCAAAAATTTTCGTTAAAATGCACATTAGGTTAAGAATGATATAAGGGGGGTACAGGAGGAGGGGGAAAGGAAGGAAATAAGGAAACGGAATGATAAGATTTTTAAAAAAAAAAAGTAACTGCGGAAAAACATGCACGAAAACAATGAAATAGTTTTTTTTTTGTGCGTATATTACACGTATTATTTATTACCAGGAAAAAATAAATTTTTGCAAATTTCGTAGAGTTTTAATATTATTTAAAAAAAAAAAAAAAAAAGTTTTTTATTGTTCTAGAAATTTCTATAAAATAATTATTCGCGCGTTATTGTTTCAAAACAATATAGTTTAACTTTTTTTTTAAAAAAAAAAAAAAAAAAAAGAAACAGTAAAATCTAACAAAACGTCGACGTGATTATTTAAAATAAAATAAAATCAAAAAGTTTACGATCGTTTGTCGTTAGGTTAACTTAACTTATCACCACGACTAAAACCGTTATTTTTATTATTATTATTATTATTACCATCACTGCCACTTTCACACATGTCTTTCAAGTTTTATTATTATTATTATTATTATTTTTACCGGATATTTATGGATAGTAATTTTTTTTTTTTTTTCGTTAAAGAAAAGTAAAAAACTTGTTTTTTTTTTTCACGTTGCTCAATAAACCGGGGGGAGGAGCAGGAGGAGGAGGAGGAACAGGGAGGGGAGAAGGAGATGCGTAAGGAAAAAAAATTTATTTTAAGTAAAGAGAAAATTTAAATCGTCACCCTTTCCAAAACAGACCGAAAAAAAAAAAATTAATAATAATAATTTTTTATTTATTTATAAAATCGTTTAACTTGGAAAGAAAAATCGATCGATTTTTTTTTCGATAATCGATTGATTCGATTAGAAGAAAATATAAAGAGATTAGATATGTAGAAAATTTTTGTTTGTTTGTTTTTCAAAAAGATTTACCGCCAAAAAAAAATAAAAAACCCCAAAAGGAAAAAGTTTTTTATCGTTTAATAATGGGAAAAATTTACATAAGAAAACTATTAGTTATTTACTTAATGCGAACGCGAAATTCGGTCGGTTAAAAAGTGTTTGTTTGTTTGTTTGTTTGTTTGACTTTTTTAAAATTCCATTAATCTCTTATAAAATTTCTTTACTATTTCTTATTTGTTTTATTCTTAACAAATAAATGACGATTTTATTATTATCATTATTATTATTATTATTCGGAAAACTTTTTTTTTTTTTCTTTATTACTTTTCTCTCTCTTTTTACCTCTGCGGTTTTCTTTTTTATCGTGATTTTATTTAGGCATTCAATCGATATTATAGGTTATGAGTTAATGCGTTTCCGGTTTTAAAGAGGAAAACAAAAAAAAATAAAAAAAAACTTACCTGAGAATCGACGGGAATTCTTTGTACGGTGTTAGGAACGTTTGATTTTGTCGATGTTGCGACAACATTTGCAAATATGTACGGATTATGAGGATAATTTTGATATTTACCTGTGAAAAAAATTAAATGAAACTTTGTAAATTTGCGACAAAATGAATAATTAATTTTTATAAATTTAAAAATGATTTTTTACGAACTGTATGCAAATTTTGTCGGCGTTAAAATATTTTCGCTACCGACGGAATCGGCAACATTTTTATTATTGGGTAAAGGATTTTTATTTTTAATGGGTCGAACGTAAATCGGCCTTTGAACGGTCGTTTCCGGTACGTAACGATTAACGGTTTTTAATCTGTATTTCGGTCTTGATATTTGATAATATTGTTCGTTTCTCGCGTCGCCGGATGTTTCTCTATGTGATTTTTTTCTATAATATGTTTTACCTTCTACGGAAACTGCCATAATCATGAGACTTAATATGACAATCTGTAAACAAACATTTATTATTGTTATTATTATTATTATTATTATTATTATTATTATTATTATTTTTATTATTAACAAAGTGTGTTATTTTTCTCGATCTTTCGATCGTCTTGAACTTTTATAAAATCGAAGGATTTTTTTATCAATGAAAAGGTCAATGCGATAATAACGCATGTGCATCAAAGTTCAATGAACTTTTTTTTTTTAATAAATAAAAAATTCGATGCGACCGACATGTTACAAATATTATTATTATTAAAGACGTTTATTAAGTGGAAAACGCGAAAAAAAAAAAAAAATTACCGTCTATTAGATTTTCATTTTAGATTTAGATTTAGATTTGAAAAAAAAAATTTTAAATTTCCTTCCGCCCTTTTGTAAAAAAAAAAAAAGGAAATAAAATTTAAAAAAAAAAAAAAAAGTCGTTTTTCGTTCTTTTTTTTTTTTATTGTACCTTTTCGTACCTTAATAATATTTATTTGTTTATTAAAGTAATTTTTTTGTTAATAAGTTATTAAATAAAAAATTAGAAAACTTACCGGTGCGAAATACATAATTTTTTATTTTAAAAAAAAAAAAAAAAACCTGAAGAAAAGGGAGAAAAAAATTATTATTATTAATTATTTTACGATGATTATTCACGTTCAAACAACAACAACGACAACAAACAAACAAACAAACGAAAATTAAAAAAAAAATATATGTATTTAATAAAATAATGAAACAAACACGAATGAAAAAGAAGTTTACTGATTAATAAAAGATAAATTCAATGTCACTTTCGTTTTTTCTTTTTTTTTTTAAAATTTCTCCCTCTACAAAAACGGGGAGTCGACATTTTTTTTTTTTTTTATTACTCTTCGTTATGAGTAATAATTTATTTTAATATTGCAATTGAAAAAGAAAAAAAAAATTCGAAAGCGTTGCAAAGCCCGGTTTTTTTTCAATATCAACTCATTATCATTATTATTATTGCTTTTTTTTTTCATAAACGAAATTTAGTAATAATAATAATGATAATAAATTAATAACGATCGGAATAGTTTAATCGAAACAATTAATTTTTTTATATTTGAAATTGTAGTGAGTGTTCATAATTACAAAATTTTTTTATTTCCGGTTAAAATTTTCACTTTCGTTTTTTTTTTACTCTATGACGTTATCGACGATATCGTCGATAAAAAAAATTATTATTATTATTGTTATTTCCTTTCTATTTTTTTTGAAATGAAAAAAAAAACTTATAATTACAACTATTGTAATAGTTATATGCATAAAATAACGTGAATAATAATAATAACTACTACTGCCACGCTCACTTTTCAAAAATTTAGTACGGTTAAAAAAAAAAAACTATCTTTTCCTTAATTCAGGTAAAACGGAAACACAGGAAATAGTGTTTTAAAAAAAAAATTGTTTTTCTTTGTAGTTAATGACGCCACCGTTTGTCGTTTGTTATAAAAAAAAAAAGTTGTAAAGTTTTTATTATTATTTTTAAAATTTATTTATTTATTTATTTAAAAAATAAATAATTTACACCCGAGAATTGTTTGTTTTATTAATTTTTTTTTTCTTTCTTTCTTTTTCATTGTTTTTCATTGTCGTGGTAAATAATAATAATAATAAAACCTTTTGTTTAATGTTTGTCGCTTATAAATAATAAGAAAAACGTAGCAAAAAAAAATTTTTCTTTTTTTTTTTTTTAACAAAGTGAAAATTTATGAAAAAAAAATTTTTTTTTTAAATTTCTCCATTGTATTTAAATTTTAAATTTAAATTTAATTCTAATTTTAAATTTTAATTATAAACAAAAAATTTTTTTTTTTTTTTGGGTTAGAAAAACAAACAAAAATTTGATAAACAAACGATTTATTAAAACAAACTATTTTGAATGAAACGATTAAAAAAAAAAAAAAAGTTATTAAAAAATTAACACGTCACGAACAAATGACGTCACGTTGTTGATTAAAAGTTAAATTATTTATTAATAATAATAACAATAATAATTAATATTTATTTATTTATTTATTGAAAACGAAATCGAAAATTTTTATTTATTTAATCGTTTATTTTTACTTTAACTTTCTAAAAATTTATTTATTTATTTATTTATCGATCGATAAATTAATTATTTCAAAATCAATAATTTTTTATGTATGATAATTAATAATTATCATTATCGACAACGTCGTCTCGAATAATAATAATAATAATAATTTTTCTCACAGTTTCGAGATTTTTTTTCTCAGCCGTGTCGCGACGCAGAAATTTTTTTTTTAACCGTTTGTTTACACAAAACGTCGTCTGCTCTCGCTGCCGCTTTTATTTTTAATAAACAAATATTATCATTATTATTTATTCGAATAAAAACATTTTTAATATAAAAAAATCGAAATCGAGGTTTCTTTTCATTTAAAAAAAAAAAAAAAAAAAAAATATCAAGTATTGAATTAAAACAAATAGAAATTTTTTTTTAAAAAAAATGATGACCGGAAGTAGTTATGAAATTTATTAAACACGAATACGTAGAATTTTTGTAGTTGAATGTAAATAAAAATAAAATATA